TGATAGCTTTTGGTGATGAATCTTTCTAGACACTTGTAAAGCCACCGTGTTGTGCATACCAAGATGCACGGTGTTTCTATAGATATAATTATATTTCATACAGTATTGTTAGTCTTTGAGGTGCTGACGAACAGTTATTACTTTTCTGTACTTTAGGGGCATCCTAATTTAAGGATGTTTCAGTGAAATCATTACTATTAGCCTCAGTAGGTGTTGAATTAAACCCTCATTTACGTGGGACAGCTAATCATACATAATATTATACCTGTTTCTCGTGTGCCTCTCAGCCAAAGATCTAACAGCATTTTATGCAGGTAAACATAATTGCTGCAGAATATCTTCTTGTGATTCGAGACCTCTTACTCATCAGAGCAGCCTGATAGATACCTCACCTTCCCCCTCCTCTGCGGCACATGGAGCTCAGAGAGGCGGAATTCCTGATGTGTTTTACTCCACAGATAGCTGGGCTGGGAGTTGTTGCTGTGTGATTCCCACTGCCGGGCAGCTCTGCCACGAGGACGTGCCGTGTAGCCTGGGAAGAAACCCAGCGGATCTTTTCTCATGATTGCCTTGGCTGTGGCTCTCAGAGAGGCAACAGCCGCAGATCAAGACTCTGTTCAAAGGAGAGATGTCAGCACTGAATTGTTTTCTGATGAAGGAAGGATGGATAAAATATTAAATGCGGTCTTCTATTTGCCCTTATCTTTCTGTTTCCCTGACAAGAATATTGTACCTTATTTCCATGGTTCTGTAACTCAAAGCTGAAGGTACACAGGTTCGGGGAAATAAATGATTTAATTGTTCCACAGTAGAAATGTTGCTGTTATAAAAATAAAGGGAGATTTTGTGTTACATGTGCTTTCTTATGTGAAGACACTTCTGTCTCGAGCAGGGAACAGCACACTTCGAGGAGTTACCTGGTTTCATTTCCATCCACCTGCTGCTGTAATTATTGTCATTTCATGCACAAAGACACTTCTACTTTCTGAGCAGTGAGGGAGTTTGCCCATGAACATTTTGGAAGGGGTGTGCCTGTCTGAGTCCCCTTTCCCAGCAGCCTTTCAACCCTTTGGGAAATGCGGATCAAATCGAGTGGTGGGGCCCAGCAGAAGGGGGACAGGGGTAGGAAGGAGCTCGAGATTTTAAGTCCCTACAGCTTCCATGTGAACTGCTGGCTTGGGTACAGGAAGGAGAGACATGCTGAGCTCACCAGAGAGGAACAGACTGAACAGGGAGCTCTGGGGTAGGAGCCCCTGAGCCTGGGGGGGTCATCCTGGAGGACCCACCCGCACGTGAGGATGGGAGAAGAGCCATCCCAGCCTCCTCCTGGGAGGAGTTCCCAGACAGTTTGAGATGGGGGAAGGCTTGGGAGGCAGGGGGAGTTTGTGGTTGGTGAAGGGCAACAGACTTGAGTATTTCTGGAGAGGTAAGAGGGGGTGAACACTCTGGAAAGGAGCCACGCTCACTGTGGTCAGCAGCACCAGAGAGCTGTCAGAAATGAGGCCTCACTGGCTTCTCTGTGCACAGAATTTGCTTTAACATCTGCCCTGTCACTGTGAGAGCGTGTTTCTGTGGCAGTGTTGTATATTTACCCAGTGATCTACCAAGTCTTTGGTCAGTGTTTTATTCTGAAGTGTTTGTATTTCTCTTTGCCAGCAGCATGAGTTTTCTCAGAGGAGAATCATGAAAACAGCAAACAGGCTGAGAAGAGTGGCCCAAATCTTGTGTCATAACTGACATAAGTTCAGAATTGCTTCATTATGTTTCTAGTGAACCAGTAATTATTCTGATTCTTCTGAAGCCATAATTTCAAGCTAGGTGGTAGCTTCCAAAAGTTGAATTAAGCTTGACAGTCCAACACTTATTTAAAATATTGTGAGCTCTCTACCCATCAGCTGTTGGAGCGCTGAAGAGCATTCCAGCCTGTTGAAGTGGACAAGCTCTGCTGTTTCAGTGGGTCTTGGGTTAGAGGTTAATGGAGAGCACGGCACCGTGGGGGGTACAAACTCCTGTGTTTGATTTGCCACGGATTGATTTTCTCTTCAGTCCTGGTGAGAGCAGGAGCTGGGGGCAGTCTCAGGAAAGCCCCTTGCCCCCACCTCTCTGGAGGCCTGTGAGGAAGGGCTGGAGCACAAGGTGACCTGGTTGCTCTCTGCTGCTTTCCTTGCTCTGCTGGGGGATTTGTGGCTGCCAAGTTCAAGGCAGGCACCAGTGGGTTTTTTTTTCTGGCTGGAACATCTTAAGCTTTCCTAAAATTGTAACTAGAAGTTCATTGATACAAAAACTAGTATTGATGTATAGTTGTGGGTGTGTGATTTGTCAACAGCTTGGGTGTGGCAGGCCAGAAAATAGAGGATGTAAACAATTTACAACCATTTATTCTTTCATTAGCCCTTTTATCTCTGTAACTCTGATTAGTTGCCATAGATACAGACAACACAGGGTTTGTTTGGGTTAATGAAAAGTCTCTCATGCTGAAAAAAAATGTGTGATTTTTCTTGAGAAAATTCCGAATTACTTCAATTTCACTATTCTTGGCCATGATTTTCAACTATATTTGAATTCATGTATACAATTTAATAATTATGGCATTTAGTAGTCTCCTTTTTTTATATATAGCATCTGCAGAATAATTTTGAGTGGAATGCAGTACTAAACAAATTGGTCTTTAATTTAGTGATTGACATGATCTGTGCCAATATTATATACTGACAGACATAAATTACTCTTCTGTCAGCTTACAGACATGCTTCTCTATTTCTAAAATAATTTTTATGATTTTTTCCACCTCGTAAAACAACTCCAGAACGTGATCAGGTAGCTGATGGGCTCACGAATGTGGTTCCTATGGGCACAGCCTGATGTCACGTTTGGTTGTGTCCTTCCTACGTAACAGTTCGGTATCTCAAGTGATAAAAGCAACGAGTGGGACTTGGCACATCCTAATTCCAGCTACTCTGTCCAAATAGAGAGCAGTTACTTGCTGTAAATGTAACTCAGCTGACTCAAGAAGTAGTTTCATATGTAGAAAAATTTAAAAAATTATTTAACTTTTCTGTTACTGTGTGGTAAGTGTGTGTGGGATGCTGCTGGTCCAGCATGCTGTGGACACTGGTTTCTAATGAGCTTAAAGTGGCCACATTGCTTTCAAGTGTGTTTGTCACTGTCCAGGTCCTGTAGTCAGGATGAACCTGAGATAAGTGGTACTGTGGGCAGGGGAGAGAGGCACCCTGTGGGGAACAGAGAAGAAGGAAAAAATATCTTTGAGTCAGCTTGATTTAAAAGAAATATATACACCGGGGTTTCTTGAAGGGTTAGAAAGAGCAGGCACAGCCCTGGCAGAGTGGGTGTGTGGGCAGAGTGCAGCTGGGAGGCAGGGGAAGGCTCAATATTGTTCCAATATTGTAGAAGATGGCGAGTTTTATGATTTAAATAATGCTTTAAATGATCCTGTTTCTTCCAGGAACGCAAAGTGTTTTGGTGTAAAGGCTGAACTCGGAGCACCACTGAATACATGGATTATGCACTGGGCATGTGTCTGGCTCCAGCAGGGATGAGCAGCCCCTGCAGCTGCCTTCCTGTGAGCAGGGAGGTTCGGTGCTCAGTCAGTTAATTAGCACAAACTGCTCCACACTGGAGGACAGAACCCCTCAGCTCAAATGCTCACCGTGCTCAAAGGTTGGGGGCTTCTCCCACTATTCCCTGCAAGCTGAGCCACATTCCCTGCACTCCACTGAGCCTTTCGTGGTTGTGCTTACAGGAGAACAGGATCTGCCCCACTGCTGTAATTTAATTAGCAGGTATAGGAGAAATAACATGGATGGTGCAGTTCTGCAGGGAGTCTGACTGACTGTGGTGCACCAGAGGAAGAGTGCCATGCCTTACTCTCAGCAGACCATGCACCCTTCCCCTACAACCTTTCAGTAGTAAAATTACCCTTAACTGTGTTCTTAATGGCTGGAGTCAAGATCCTAGAGTAAGTATTTCCTGGGGAAAGAAAGGTAGGTTTGAGCAGCGCTAAGTAAATTTGGGGATATTAAAAGTACTGAAAATTTTACCAGATGTCTTAGAGGTTTGAAAAATAGCTTAAATCTTTTTAGGGATTAAAACCTATTTTTCTAAGTTAGAACAGTTTATTTTGCTACAAACCAATTGGAATTAATAAAAACAATGGACTCCCAGGGATGAAAAAAGAAGTGTGTGTGCACCAGGTTTCAGTTTAAACTCCATGAGACTGCAGAGGCTGTAATTAGGTCCTTTCCATTTCTAAATATTCAGATGACAGCATCCTCAGGGCCCAGTGTAGGAATTTTCTCTCTCTATACAAAGCCAGGATGAGGTATTCAGTAATTCAGTACCTATATACCAATTAAAAAAATATATAATTATTTAACATAGCTGTAGAAACAAGTATACTGATGTTTGTCTTTATCATCACACAATGTGCAAGTCTTTGTGATCTTTTTATTGTGTTTTTGGTTGTCTGCTTGAGCTGAGAACCTCCCCACACTGAGCCCTTTTCTTCAGCAGACCCAGAGGAGAGATCTGGGGTCCCTTGTGGGACCTGCACCTGCAGAGCAGCAACATCCCAAAATGCCACTCACCTGTTTCCAGTCCTCGGACGTGCAGGAGGACGGTGCACACGTGGCTTTATCTGCTGCTAATAGCTTGGTCCTGAAAAGGCTCCTGCATTTAAACTGGTCAAATGTGTCTCCAGGGAACAGGACTGCAGCAGAACTGGACATGTTTGTCCCGAGCTGTAAATGAACAAGGAGCTGTCTCACGTGTTGGCACTTGAGCTCTTTACTCGGGTTAACTTGGTGAAAACTCAGCAGAAAGAAAAATGATTATAAAAAAGTTGCATGTAATGCTTTGAGAATGAGGCTCAGCAATGCACTGAAGATGTTTAGAGGAATCCAGCAGTCAGGAGCTGTGACCCTGAGTATGAGGGAACTCTTTCCTGCTGCAGCACTTATGAGTTTGCCGTGTTTTCTTTGCAGGGTCTCGGTGTGTCTGGTGGGAGTCAGGCTGGCCTGGGCACTGCTTCCCCCAGGCAGTATCCACGGCAGAAAATAACACGTGTAAACCTCAGGGACTTCATCTTCTACATGGAACAGGAACGAGAAATGAGCCATTCTCTCCTGCTCTATCGAGCTCTGCTTAAATAAAGCCAACAGTTGTACTGATTGCTCCATACAGAAGCTCAACTTGCATTGAAAGCTGTCATTTTAATGTGCCTTCTATTTTTTTCAGAAGTCAACGTTCCAGTAATTTTGTTTTGTAAAATTGTCAGACACATGCAATAAATTTCCTTTATGTAAAAAAAAAAAAAAAATATAAAAACCACACACACAAAAAAAAAAAGTGCAAAAGGTTTTAAAATGTTAACTCCACAGATATAACCAACATCCAAGTCTTGCTCCATTTGGCCATTTTAGGTAAGGCTGAAGTAGCTGGTGTTGAAGTTACACAAATGCAAGGCTGCTGCAATGGCTCACCTAAACCATCTCCAGGCCAGGCCTGGGCCCAGCCCTGGGGTTCTGTGGGTTCCCTTGCGGTGCTGGGCTCTTCTCCTTCGTTTACTGGCGCTGTCTCACTGACCATGGTGATACCTGTTGTTGTTTTAGCTTAGTTATAACGGCAGTTTTTTGCACAGCCAGGAGACTAGCACACCCTCACAAATTCTATATATTTGGGATTTTCTTGCTTTTACTGCACAGCTCATTTGCTGAGCCATTTGCTGAACCAAATCCTAAGTGTATGAAGTCTGTGTGCTTGGGTCTCAGCTGAGTTACCCCGAGTAGCTTCCAGTTGTTTTCTAAACCCCTTCAACCTTTTGTGCATTTGTAGCAGCTGGTTAGTAACATGATTCAGAGTTGGGTTTTTATTTTCTAAAAGATGTTAATTTATTTATTGCAAAGAGTATGGTTTAATGGTGGTTTTAAAAGAGAGTATTGTTCAGTAAAGATTTTTAGAGTATTCTATATGGATTTTTAAAGTCGCTCTAAAGGTTTTCGGGGGCCGGTGCCACCAGGGGTGGCGATGCCTTGGATTCCAGTCCAGGGAGGCTCACAGACAGGCTTTAAGCACGAGGAGTAGTTGTAAGTAGCTGAGAGGTGAGAGGAATACTTTTTAAATGCTTTGCTGAAGCGGAATTCTGAGCCCACACCAAAGCCGAGCGACGTCAGTGCGAGTCTTTTAAATGGGGATCGGAGAGGAGCAGTCACAGGCAGGTGGGCACAAGATGTATTTCAGATTTTAACAGTGTTACCAGTCACCAAGGAAGGGAGACATTTGCTTATTTATCTTTTCCATTTTTACTATGTTATGCTTGCCACTTTTTTGAGGCAATATTTTTCTTTTTTTTTTGATGGGAAACCATAGCAAAAGCACAAATAGAACTATTTGTCCAATAGTTTTAAAAACAAAGGTTTTAATTATTTTTTAAGGTTTATGAAAAGCAGAAGAAAATTTATACTGCTGCTATTTAGCCAAAAGATTATTCATAAGGTATTTAAGGCCAGGAAGTGTAAAGTTATGTTTTAAATGTATTGATAATTTGTACATATTGTTTATAAAGGCCTTGTGTTTATTAGAGTTACGTTATTTTGATGATTTCTGTACATACTCGTAAATACCCCCAATTTGTGTGAAAACATACTCCCTTATTTGTACTTATTTTGTAAAGAAATAAAACAATTTACTAAAGTAACACATCGAGTGACATACAGTATTAATTTATCAAACATGAATTTTCACATTGTCTCGTAGCTCTTAAGCACTGGTCAGAAAACATTTTTGCATTAAAATATTAACAGAATACCCACAAAGAAATATTAAAACCCCAATACTTCGATGTTTTGTTGTGCTGATCCTTATCCTTTGTGAAACATCTAATAAAATTGTCAACAAACCTCGATGCCATTAGTACAGAGAATGGATGTGCTCAGCGGTGGCTTTCTGGGGAGCGACGAGTCCAGTGAGCACAACAGAACATTCCCCTTCACTTTCTGACACAGCCCTGCACAGAAAGTGCCGGGGAGGGCTCCTGTTTGTCGGGCCACGGGGTCAGTGCTCGGCAACAGCGAATCAGAACAGTTTGGGTCAATCGAATTAGGCGAAAAAAAACCCAGGCTACGCTTCTTGGCCTCCGCAGCAAAAACATCTGCTGGCTGCGCACTGGGCCTCGCTGGAGTGGCTGGGGCATTTTAGAACCTCTCTCAGCCAAGCTGAGCAATGTTCTTCATTAAGTTGTGTTACTACGGTTTAAGGCCAGAAGTAAAAATGCAAATCAGTTTTCGTTGATAATGCTGCCCAAAAATACAGGGAAATAAGTAAAAACTATATAAATGAAACTGTAATAATCTTTAAATAAGTGACCTGAAGTTACTAACTAAAAGAACATGTCCTAGTTTAACTTTTTTTTTTTTTTTTTTAAAAAAGGCATTTTTCTTCTAAGAAAGTGATTGTTTCCACATGTCTTCCTTGCCTTAGTGCTATTTTGCAGTCAATGCTGTGATGTCACGGTTCAAACTTTCCATCTCAAGTTCACATTTAACTCGGCTGGCGCAGCCTGGAACCCTTTCCAGTGCCACCTCAGCAAAGCTGCCCCAAGGACCGGGGCTGCTTCATTGAGCCAGAAAAAAAAACTCACGGTAAAAACACCAGACTGAGGAAAAACCAACCACAGATCCTCCCAATGTCCTGCCCGTGTCCAGAAGCATCGTCCCACCGCGTGCCCCTGAGAGCTGCCCAGGGGTTGCTCAGCGCCCGGTCCTGAGGAGCTGGGCACGCCTGGCCCGAGCACCGGGGGCAGGATTGGGCCCCTGTGACCAAATGTCCCCAGGAGGGGTCCCCTTTTTGCTCCCTGGCTGAGGTAAGAACCGGGGGGGATGCGCTGCCAGAGCCGCTGCGAGTGCCACTCGCCCTGGGCAGGGGGGCAGGGTGGATACAGGAAATACCTGAACAGATTAGTTAAGGATGCTTTGGACTGAAAGGTAACTCAAGGTATGAAAGTAATAAATAAAAAGACTTTTTTTTTTGTTTCCTTTCTGTGAGACGTGGCTACATCAAGCTGAATGGAGCTAAAGGCTGGAGAAGACGCAATCAAAAATTCTCACCTCTTTCAAACACCATGGGAGATAAAGTGAGTGTTCCACCCTACGTGCTTATTTTTGTTCGTTTACTTTACAGAAATGTTTATGGCATGAAGGACTGTATAAGAAATGTGCATACACAAATACATGACAATTATACGTTAAGTTCTTTACAATATTAAATGTATAATATACAATTCTACAGATATCTTACATACAAAGGTGAATGTTGTGCCATATATTCAAATATGGCAATGCCTAGCGACTTCAGAATGTCGTACAAGTATAAAACCACAAAATAAAATAACTTTACAACTCTTAAAGTAGACAGATTTGCTCAACTGTTCTGCTAAGGTAGCAGGCCAACCGGCCAGGATTGCCATTAGAGATTTCTGAGTTGGGGGACCAAGGTGAGAAAACCTGCAGAGGTCTGATTTTCCATGGACAGGTATCCAGCCCTTTTCCAAAAATTAGACCCCTGCCTAGATTGTTCCTTGGATAGTCAGTACAGCTCATCGCTTTTGAGAATATTAGTCTTAAATGTGACTTTTAAAATTTCGCCTGATTGCAACCAATTGGCATTGAAGAACTGTTGACCGCTTAATGCTCTCTCCCTTGTTCTATATGGCCGTATTTAGGCATCTAAAAAGAGTTTTAATTAAGATTCAGCATCTACAACAGTATTCTATAAATTAATGTGGGAGAAACTAAATTGTGATTAACACATGAATTAGTTATTGAGGACCCAATCATGCTAAACAGCACTAAACAGGATTTAGCAGAATGCTATTTATAACCTCGCACCTGCGAACACGGTGCTGTCTCCTGAGTTAGGAAGCCCTGTGAGTCGATGCCGATTCCTGGCAGTGGCAGGACCCTCCTGCAGACCCCTGACTTCGTTACAGAGAAAATTACACGGATAGAGGGCGGCTACAGAATTAATATTTTTAATAATAATTTAAAATAATAAAACAGTTTAAACCAAAGGCGGCCTGCTTTCATCCGGCAGTGGCAGTACAGGGTTTTAACGGCTCTTTGCAAGAATTCCAGACCCATAAAGAGTTAGGCCTGTCCAAAATTCTTAAACTTTCCTCCTAAATGTGGGCTTCTAACATGGTTAGTAAATGATTAACAAGGGGTGGCAGAGCTTGCTTGGCAGAACCACGTTTCTTTGATAATGCAAAACTTAACAGTTTCTGTGTCAAAACAAGACTGGCTTTAAGAGAGCTACAGCTCCACGTCGGGTGCGTGACCCTTGTGTGATGGTGGATGGCATTTTATTTTGTGCTTCCAGATCCCTACTGTTGCAAATATTGCCATAATCGGCCTCGTCTAACTTTTTGTCACTTTTTTTAGTTTGGTTTGTGTGGGGTTTTTAGTACTGAGCACCAGTTGACTATAAATTGGTCCTTTTCTGATTCTGGATCCTGTCCACAGAGAGAGACTTCAGTTGGAAATGTAGTATAAAAATAAGCCATTTGCTAGTGTGGGTGAGTACAATCACAGAGGTGCCCCGTGGTGCCTGGAGGTGTAAAGCACGTCTGATATGGAGGTGTGGCAGTCAGGGAAGAGTCTCAGTGCAGTTTTTAGCGTTCCATCTTCCTCTCGCAGACGTCAACGTGCCGCAGCACTGGGGTGTCCTCGGGAAGGCCGGCAGAACCACTGCTCCTACTGATCCATCCAGCTGCTTCAACTGGTCCTTGCAGAAGTCCAGCCCAGTCCAGGGTCAGGGTTTTAGGAAGCTCTCTGCCTCTCTCACAGCAGTGCTGTTGAGCCCAAAGTCCATCCCGGGGACCTGCTGCGCTGGGCGTGCTCGGCAACTCCAGCGCGGAGAACGGACAGCTGGTTTCTCAAACGCATCTCGTGGCTGGCTGTGTGACAGGTAGTTTCAGAGTACCACTAATTGGCAACATAAAGTCCAAGTCTGTTTGCTAATACTGTTTTGCAAATCCTTAGTGTTTCACATAAGGGACTATTAAACACTTCTACGGTTACAAAGGGGGCGCGGGGAGGGTCTAGTCCAGGGGCTCCTGTTTTATTCTGATTGTTGGGGTGGGTTGTGGTCGTCTGTCCTCGCGACACAGCACATATTCACTGAACTGAGAGGAATCCACCCCACCACCACAGGAAGCTGCCACGTTAAATCCCTTCTGAAATAATCTTTCGAGCACCTGCAGTGTGGGGGGGAAAAAGAGTCAGATTAATATTTAGCAAATTTTAGTGATAAAAGCGGTCGGAAGCACCGGATCTA